TATAAAAGTGGAATTGTCCCTTCCTAATCTCCACCCATTATTCCTGTCCCCTGTATCATCTTTCACAAATTATAAATATTTCATGTTACTTGTTTAGTCTTGAATGCATTCGTCTATCTATGTTTAGCTTTCCAACTAAAACAGGAGCTCCAAGAATGTAAGATGTGTATCTTCTGTGTATAACATAGCACACAGCACTCAGTATAGCATCTGTGGCATGAATTAATAAATAAAAGTGAGAATTATTAGACCTTTGAGCTGCCCTTAGTTTGCGTGAAACAAAAATCCCTTCTCAGGGTTCCCTCTGGAAAACTAAACTTTTGGAATTTCCTCACAGATATGACAAGAAAAAAAGTATAGCAATACCAAATCTCCAAAATAATTTTCTAAAAGTAGAATAAAGAGGAGGTAGGCAGAGAAAAAGGGAATCTAGGTAACTTTCTAGAAGAGCAATACTCTGGTTCCTGATAACAACTTGCAAGATAACCCATATTCTTCTCTTAAATTCTAATCATCACCATGTATGAATCATGTGTCTAGGCTTATGTGATAACAGCTAAATTAAAACAAACAAATTAGAACATAGACAGCTGAGGCAGAAGCAGAAAATTGGTAGACTTTTCCCAATAGTGCTATCCATTTTCTCTGTTCTTGGGAGAAACACCATAAAAGGAAAACTTTAATGTTTGTATTAGGGCTCTCTGGAGAAAAAGAACCAATAGGATATATATACAGATATGTATAAGAGGACACAGTTACGTATGGGAGGATATCTATTATAGCAATTGGAACATGTGATTATAGAGACTGAGAAATTCTACCATCTGCCTCATGCAACTTAGAAAACCAGGAAAGCTGGTAATGTAATTTAGTCCAAGTCTGAGCCCTGAAAACTAGGGGCAGGGGGAGGCGGGGGTTGATGATGTAAATCCTGTTTTGAGTCTAAAAGCCTGAAAACCAGGAACACTGATGTCTAAGGGCAGGAGAATATGGCTATCTAAGCTTACGCAGAGAGAACAAA